ACATTTCATTTCTTAGTGAGGTTATTTGGATTTTCTCTATTCTTTTCTTGATTAATCTTGCTAATGGTCTATCAATTTTATTTATCTTTTCAAAGAACCAGCTTTTTGTTTCATTTATCTTTTGTATTTTTTTGTTTCCATTTCATTTAGTTCTGCTCTGATCTTGGTTATTTCCTTTCTTCTGCTGGGTTTAGGTTTGGTTTGTTCTTGTTTCTCTAGTTCCTTGAGGTGTAACCTTAGATTGTCTTTTTGTGCTTTTTCAGACTTTTTGATGTAAGTGTTTAGGGGTATAAACTTTGCTCTTAGAATCGCCTTAGCTGTATCCCAGAGGTTTTGATAGCTTGTGTCATTGTTGTCATTCAGTTTGAAGAATTTTTAAATTTCCGTCTTTATTTTGTTTTTGGCCATTGCTTATTCAGGAGCAAGTTATTTAACTTCCATGTATTTGTGTGGTTTTGAAGGTTCCTTTTGGAGTTGCTTTCCATTTTATTCCACTGTGGTCTGAGAGAGTGCTTGATATAGTTTCCGTTTTCTTAAATTTATTGAGGTTTGTTTATGGCCTATCATATGGTCTATCTTGGAGAAAGTTCATGTGCTATTGAATAGAGTGTGTATTCTATGGTTGTTGGATGAAGTGTTCTGTATATATCTGATAGATCCATTTGTTCCAGGGTATAGTTTAAATCCATTGTTTCTTTGCTGACTTTCTGTCTTGATGACCTCTCTAGTGCTGTCAGTGGAGTATTAAAGTCCCCCACTATTATGGTATTGCTGTCTATCTTATTTCTTAGGTCTATTAGTAATTGTAAATTTGGGAGCTACAGTGTTAGATGCATATATGTTTAGGACTGTGATGTTTTCCTGTTGGACCAGGCCTTTTACCATTATATAATGTCCCTCTTTGTCTGTTTTAACGGCTGTTGCTTTAAAGTTTGTTTTGTCTGATAATAGTTATCCCTGTTTGCTGTGAGTCCTTATGTGTTAGGTGAGCCTCCTGAAGAGGGCAGGTGGTTAATTGGTGAGTTATCCATTCTGCCAGTCTGTATCTTTTAAGTGGAGCGTTTAGGCCATTTACATTCAATGTTAGTATTGAAATGTGAGGTGCTGTTGCATTCATCATGCTCTCTGTTGCCTGTGTACTTTGGTTTTGTTTTTTAACTTGTATTTTTGTTTGTAAGTCCTGTGTGATTTATGCTTTAAAGAGATTGTTTTGATGTGTTTCCAGGATTTGTTTCAAGATTTAGAGCTCCTTTTAGCCATTCTTGCAGTGGTGGCTTGGTAATGGTGAATTCTCTTAGCATTTGTCTGAAAATGACTTTATCTTTCCTTCATATATGATGCTTAGATTTGCTGGATACAGAATTCTTGGCTGATAATTATTTTGTTTGAGGAGGCTGAAGATAGGGCCCTAATCCCTTCTGGCTTGTAGGGTTTGTGCTGAGATACCTGCTGTTAATCTGATAGGTTTTCCTTTATAGGTTACCTAGTGCTTCTGACTCACAGCTCTTTAGACTCTTTCTTCCATCTTAACTTTGGATAACCTGATGACAGTGTGCCTAGGCAGAGATTTTTTTGTGATGAATTTCCTAGATGTTCTTTGTGCTTCTTGTATATGCATGTCTAGGTCTCTAGCAAGGCCAGGGAAGTTTTCCTTGATTATTCCCCCAAATATGTTTTCCAGGCTTTTAGAGTTGTCTTCCTTATTCTTTTTTGTCTTTGTTGGATTGGGTTAATTTGAAAACATTGTCTTCAAGCTCTGAATTTCTTTTTACTACTAACTCGGTTATATTGTTGAGACTTTCCAGAGCATTTTGCATTTCTAAAAGTGTGTCCAGTTTCTTGAATTTTTGTTTTTTCTTTAAGCTATCTATTTCATTGAATATTTCTCCCTTCACTTCTTGTATCATTTTTTGAATTTCATTGCATTGGGTTTTACCTTTCTCTGATCCCTCCCTGATATGCTTAATAACTAACTTCCCAAATTCTTTTTCAGGTAAACTTCTTCTTGGTTTAGATTCATTGCTGGTGAACTGGGATGATTGGGTGGGGAGTGTTGACAAGCCATACTTTGTCATATTACCAGGGTTGGTTTTCTGGTTCCTTCTCATTTGGATAGGCTCTGTCAGAGGGAAGATCTAGGGCTGAAGGCTATTGTTCAGATATTTTTGTCTCACAGGGCATTCCCTTCATGTAGTACTCTACCCCTTTTCCTGTGGATGTGGCTTCCAGTAAGCCTAACTGCAGCGATTATTGTCTCTCTTCTGGGTCTAGCCACCCAGTGAGTCTGCCTGGCTCTGGGCCGGTGCTGGGAGTTGTCTGCATAGAGTCCTGTGATGTGAACTATGAGTCTGTCAGCTGTAGATACCAGCGCCTGTTCCAGTGGAGGTGGCAGAGGGTGCAATGGATTCTGTGAGAGTCCTTAGCTTTGGTGGTTTAATGCTCTATTTTTGTGCTGGTTGGCTTCCTGCCAGGAGGTAGCACTTTCCAGAAAGCATCAGCTATAGTAGTGTGGAGAGGAACCAGCCAAAGCAGGTACCCTAGAACTCCCAAGATTATATGTCTTTTCTGCTACCAGGGTGGATAGGAAAGGACCATCTGGTGGGGGCGGGGCTAGGTGTGTTCAGGCTCTCCTTGGTTGGGTCTTGCTGCAGCTACTGTGGGTTATGGGGGTGAGATACCCATGTCACTGGAGTTTTGTACCTAGGAGGATTACAGCTGCCTCTCCTGAGTCATGCAGGTTGTCAGGGAAGTGGGGAAAAGCCGGCAGTCACAGGCCTCACCTAGCTCCCACGCAAACTGAAGGGCCGGTCTCACTGCCTCGTGCCCCTCTTCACCCCTAACAGCCCCGAGTCTGTTTCCAGATGGAGGGAGTGTCACACTTGGAAAACTTGCCCGAAGCTTTCTGCCTCCCAGCTGAGAAAGCAAAGGGCTTTAGTTCTTCCCCTGTCTATGTAGTTTGCAAGCTGGATTCATACCCTCCCCAGAGTTCTGGCCAGGAGGCTTCTCGCCTCATTCAAATTGTTACAGAGTTCAGCTAGAGAAGTCCTTCTCCCTGTGGAGTTTTACCCCCTCCTTCTCTGGCCACCGTCTTGATGGATCCCTGTGGTGCGAGGCAGGAATGGGCTGCTTGGGGATCCAGCGAGCTCCCAGTGTCTTTCTGCTACTTCTTCTACCCCTGTATCTCACTCAGCTCTCTAACTTGACTCAGCTCCAGCTAAGTGGGGAATTTCTCCCACAAACAGACTTTCAGCTTCTCCAGTGGGGTGGGGGGAATGGGGGAGAGTGTGTTTGGGAGAGAAGGGTCTCCCTTTCCCACTTCCACGGTTGGGGCACTCACAGTATTTAGGGTGTCTCCTGGGCCTTGTAGGAACACTCCGCTTCCTTCAGAGGGTCTGTGGATCCTCATGATTTTTGATCTGTTCTTGCAGTTGATCTGGAGCTAAAATTCACAGTGCAAGCCTCCACATGCTGCTCTGTCTGGAGTGCAATCTAGTCCTACCTCCCATCTGCCATGATCCTCCTGTTTCCTTGTTCTTTTATGTTTTCTGCATTCTTATACAATGATAATCTATGTGTCTGGTATAATGATCACTTCTTCCATTTTTTGAATTTGCTTTCATAGGGGTGAACATTTTCCTGAAGCTTCATCTATGATGGTGGTTGGGTAGGCACTTTGGCCTTGATCCTGGGTACATGCAGGAGTGTAGTCTCTGTAGGCTTTTTTTTTTTTTGGCCAAAAACATTATCCGTGGTATCTGTAATTTCCTTGATGGCTTAGGGTGCGGTTGTTAGTGGAGGCTGTGGTAAAGTTTTGCTGCGAACTGGGGCACCAGGTAGACCAGTCTTCAGGATGCAGGGTGGTAGCAGTAGGCTGAGTATGCCTGTCCTTGGTCCCCAGGGATGTATACACTGGCACCAGTGTTAGCAGGTCCAGCCAGGCCAATTATTGGGCTTCAAGATGGCTGGCTCAGGTGCTGGGAATGGCAGGAGTAGGGTGGGTGAGTAGGTTTTCAAGCCACTGGGCAGGAAACATGGGCAATGGTAGTAGTAGTAGTGGGACAGCCTTCTGGGATCCTAGCAGTCAGTGGTGGGTGGTGTTGGCAGTGGCTATGATGGGCTCCTTGGGCCAGTCCCCAGACTTGCAGGTAGTTTATGTGGTTGGGTGCCAACTATGGTGGTAATGGCAGGTTGATTGGGCCCAGACTCTGGGAGGAGTGCTCTGGTGCCAATGGTGTTGTCCTGAGTAGGGCAATCCCCAGCTCCCTGGACCATGCGCTTGGTTACTGATGAAGATAAAGCAAGGCTGAGCAGACCTGCCCCCAGGTTCCCAAGGTGTATGCAGGCTCTGGCTGTTGTAGGCAGGAGTGGGATGATTGCTAGGCCACCAGCAGAATGCTTAGGTTGAGGGTGGGTTTGCTTTCAATGAGTTGCTCTGGCAGATGGTGGATGTCAGTGCGGCTCTAGGGATGTGGAGATGCAGGGGCTGTTGGGCCCCAAGGCAAGATACTGTCCACTAGTGGCTGGGCTCACAAAATAGTGCCATGCTGCAGTTCCTTAGGTCTTGGGTGTTTGTGGGACCTAGTGTGAGCTCTCTTGAGCAGTGCTTTCATGTGGTCTACAGGTAGCGCCTTGTTAGTCTTGGGACCCATGAGGGTCAAGGAGCTGTTCGGTGGTTAGGATTATAAGAATCCTTGGTGGGAATGTGGATTGCCAGGGATTGCTCACTTACCCTTTTCTGCCATTAGGCAGCCTCTGTAGACTCCCAGCTAATCCTATCAAGACAGGCGGCTGTGCCTCCTTCCTTGCTTATGATGCTTCCTGTCATTTTGAATTCCAGTGTTCTGTGTTAGATCTATGCGTATAGGATTGTCTACTCATTATTCTGGTTCCCCTCTGTGGAAGAGGTGAGCACCAAATGTATTTAGTCAGCCATCTTTAGGTCCTTCTTGCTTCACAGATTTTTATTTTTGACAATAATTTATGTGATTATGTATGACTAGAAAGCCATCACTGCCCAGGTAGAAGAGAAGCGCAGGAAGAAGCAACTGGAAGAAGAGCAAAGAAAGAAGGAAGAACAAGAGGAGGAGCTTCGCTTAGCACGGGAACGTGAAGAGATGCAGAAACAGTATGAAGAAGACATACTTAAGCAAAAACAAAAGGAAGTAGGTATTTACATTCTAATTGTAACTTTGGGGTTTTTTGTTTTTGTTTTTGAGGCAGGGTCTGCCTGTTTTGCCCAGGCTGGAGTGCAGTGGTGCAGTCACAGTTCACTGCAGCCTTGACCTTCGGGCACCTCAGTCTCCTCAGTAGCAGGGACTACAGGCATGTACCACATTTGGCTAATTTTTTTGTTGGTGTGTGGAGACAGGGTCTGACTACGTTGTCTAGGCTGGTCTCAAGCTTTTGGGCTCAAGCAACCCTGCCACCTCACCCTCCTAACGTGTTGTGATCACAGGGGTGAGCTACCATGCTTGGCCTCCTGATTGTAACATTTTAGAATAAAAATGGATATATTTTTAAATGAAAAATAACCAGAAGTTGAACATTTCTATGTATTTTTAAATTATGAAGCAATGTATGGAAATGTCAGACCTTCACATAAAATTAGGAAAGAGGGAAGCTTGAGAAAATTTTGTTATTTCACATGATGTAACTAGTTCTCAAATGTTATTGGTTTGGCTTTTTCTGTTGAGCATGTCAAGATGAATTATTACAGCACAAAGCAAGTTACCTATGTGCTTCATTTTTATATACTCCTAGTTTCTATGCAGTAATTACTATATCAATAATTATTCTAGGTATATTAAGAGAAATGATTGGCCATTCTATCAGTATCCACTTGTGAACAGAAACATGTATTTGCAGAATAATTGGCTGGGATTGATAATAGAATTTGTCAACGTGTTAGGGATCTCTGTGTTAAATGGCCTTTTTAAAAAGTAGATACCTGGTTGGCTAGGAGAACCGTGAGTGGTACAGATAAGATAGGTATGTATGGTGCTGGTAAGTGCCATATTTGAGCTAACCTGACAAAAATACTCACTTGCTAAAGATTTAAAGGTTTAAAGCAGGCGTCCCCAAACTTTTTACACAGGGGGCCAGTTCATTGTCCCTCAGACCGTTGGAGGGCCACCACATACTGTGCTCCTCTGACCACCAATGAAAGAGGTGCCCCTTTCTGAAGTGTGGCGGGGTGCCGGATAAATGGCCTCAGGGGGCCTCAGTTTGGGGACGCCCGGTTTAAAGTGTAGAGCACTTTAAACATTTTCTTGCCTTTGGCTGCATTTTTCCCACTTGGCAACCTTCACTCCAAAATTGGCTGGTAAAGGGACACATGGTCTGGGTTCCAGTTTCATTGAGTTAAATAGGCTGAGCCAGTTACTCATATGTGATAACCATACATTAGGAAATCAATGAAGTATTATTTGAATCGCAAGAAGTGGTCATAAACCTTGTGTTTTATCTTTTAAAATTGATTTTTAAATTAACAGTACAGTTTTTAAAACTTTGAAAAACTTAGTATAAATTTCAAATGGGTAAAAAGAGTTCTTTTATTTGTAATTGGATATAGCTATAGAAAAAGATGTTAAAATATAAGCCCCAAAAGGGCAGGAACTTTGCTTTGTTGACCATTCTACCCTTAGTGCCTGACACATAGGAAAAGCTTACTTAGAAAGTGTTCACTGGGAGGGAATAGTCAAGTCTTTGTATGTTTAGTAATTGTAATTAATAACACATCAATACTGACAGGAAATCATGACTCTCAAGACAAATGAGCTATTCCAGACAATGCAGCGAGCGCAGGAACTGGCACAGAGACTAAAACAAGAACAGAGAATCCGAGAATTGGCACAAAAGGGACATGACACTTCTAGATTGATTAAAAATCTTGGTGGTAAGAGCTTAACCATAATTTCATAATATTTTTAGAAGATGGTTTTAAATCCCTTTTATCCTTGTTTGGAGACAAGGACTCATTCTGTTGTCCGGGCTAGAGTGCAGTGGTGCAATCACAGCTCACTGCAACATCATAATTTTTGTAGACATGGAATCTCACTTTGTTGCCCAGGCTGATCTTGAACCCCTGTCTTCAGATGACCCTCCCACCTTGGCCTCCCAAAGTGTTGGGATTACAGGTGTGAGAGTCACTGCACCCAGCCTAAATGATTGCCTATTTTTATAAACAGTATTAAAATAATAGGTAAAATGTGTACTTTTTGTCATTTTTACAGAGAACAACTATTACATGATCTCCCTAATCAGTAACTGATAGATAGGAATTTGTAAATTCAGTAACTGATAGGAATGCGGGTAACTTTTTGTAAGAATATTTAGGCTAACTCTACTAAATTTTTATTGCAGTATTCATTATAATTAAGTGAAAAATAATATATTTAGTTGCTGCTATACATAATTTTTATTACTATTCCTTAAATGCTGTTTTATCAGGCAATTTCTTTTTGCCAGTTGATACAATACAAATGGAATGTAATGCATCTACTAACATTTCCAGTTCAAGACATGATTCTGATGAAGTCAGTGGTAAAATGAATACATGTATGAATTCTTCGACATCTCCTAAGAAGGATACTGGTGTGCAGACAGGTATTTGTGTAAAAATTGTGGTTTAAAATTTAGTCATAATTAAAACTATTAGAATTAAGTTCAACTTAAAGCTCAAAAATTAATGAAATTTGAGGTTTTCAGTAAGAAATTACAAAATAAAGGGATAACAGCTTTGTTGAAACATGTCAGCTGGGCACTGTGGCTCATGCCTGTAATCCCAGGACTTTGGGAGGCCAAAGAGGGCAGATCACAAGGTCAGGAGTTCGAGACCAGTCTGATAAACATGGTGAAACCCCATCTCTACTAAGAAATATACAAAAAAATTAGCCGAGCATGGTGGCGTGTGCCTGTAAACCCAGCTACTCAGGAGGCTGAGGGAGGAGAATCTCGCTTGAACCCAGGAGGTGGAGGTTGCAGTGAGCTGAGATCACGCCACTGCACTCCAGCCTGGGCAACAGAGCAAAACTCTGTCTCAAAAAAAAAAAAAAAAAAAAAAAAAAAAAGTCACATACCACAAAATTTACTGTATGATTTGGTGTTTTTTGGTATTCAATTGTGCAACCATTACCACAATTCTAAAACATCACTTTAGAAGGAAACACTGTACCCACTACTTGTTACTTTCTATTTCCCCTTTCTCCTCCAGTTAACATTCTGTCTCTCAATATTTTTGCCTGTTCTGGAGATTTCATGTAACTGGAATTAGATCACATACAGTCTTCTCTATCTGGCGTTTCTCTTAGCATAATGTTTTAAGGTTCATGTTGTAGCATGGGTCAGTACTTCATTTTTGTCACTGAATAAGTATTACATTTATAATACCACATTTTGTTCATTCATGAATTGAACATTTGGATTATTTCCACTTTTTTCTTTTATTAATATGCTGCCAAGAACATTCATATAGATTTTTGTAAATGTACAATTTTAGTTCGAGAGAAGAATTGCTGAGTCATGAATAACAGGTACTCTGTGTTTAGCATTTCTGAGGAACCACCAAAACTCTTCTCCAAAGTGCTAGTACCATTTTACATTCCACCAGTGCATGTGGGTTCTGATTCTCTATATCCTTGCCAACCATTGTTATTCTACTGGTTGTGAAGTGGTATTTTAGGTAGATGGTTTTGGTTTGCATTTCCCCAGTGACCGATGATGATATTGAGCATTTTTTTATGATTATCTAGATTGGTTAATTCATAGAAATGGAAATCAGAATGGTGGTTGCCATTGGTGGGAAGTATGAGGGAAGAATGAGTATAGAGTTTCAGATTTGTTGAAAAATAATGAAAGAAAAATGTCTTAGCGGGCAAAAACCTATAAAGTTATTTAATGTTTTGGGAGAAAACTGTTTAAAATAGAAAATTTTGTTTATAACTTTTAAAAATCATTTGAAACCTTTTTTTAGATGACTTAAATTTAGGAATATTCACCAATGCAGAATCACAGTGTGGATCATTAACAGAGAGGGACATCACAAATCGTTCATCTCCTGAGATGTCAGCGGAACTTAGCACTAAGAAAAACAAGCAAGAACTAATTCAGGATAAAGGAGCCAACTTAGAAAAAGAAAACAATAGGTATAATGACCAGTGTAATCAGTTCACAAGAATACAGAAACAAACAAAACACATGAAGAAATGTCTTAAAAGGCCTGATTGGAATATAAATAAGCTACCTAAAAGGTATATTCCAGCATCGGAAAAGTACCCTCAACAGCTTCAAAAGCAGAGAGAAGAAAAAAAAGTGAGGAGGCAGATAGAATTGCTTCATTTGGTAGAAAAAAATAATCCTGGGCACCTTTCTCAAAACAGAGGCATTTCACCAGAAATTCTTCATTCATCTCATCAAGAAACTGAGTCAAAATTCAGGTGGCATCTAGTCAAAAAGGTAAAAAGCTCATCCATCTTAAAAGTGCTTTTAAGTGTTGTTTCTAGATTCAAAACAGTTTCTCACATGTATGCTTTAATAAGGATGTTCTGATCGAATTTGTTTTAGTTTGCCTTAGGAAACAGCAAACTACATCCCATGGGTAAATCCAGTCTGCTTCCTGTTTTTGTAAAGTTTTATAGGAACGTATCCACATTCATTCATTTATGAATGGTCTATGGCTGACTTCACAAAACAGACTAGCAACAGAAACCATATGGCCCAAAAGCTGAAAAAGTTTATCAAATCCTTTACACTTACACACCTTCTATAGATGAATGCTATGTATTCAAATACTCCTTTAAAATCCTTGTTTATAGTCCATATAGACAGAGGTCAGTTTGGGAGATTAGGAACTACTAGATTATTCTGACTCTGGAAAAAATACCTAAATCTCTCTGTTCTATTCCCCAGTACCTGTTATTCAAATATTACCCTCCGAATACTGAAACAAGTAACCCCAAAAATATTTGTGGGGACATGTGAAGATGCTAAATGTTCCTTTCTGCATTTATCTGTCCATCTTTTAGGAAGAAGAGCCTCTGAATATTAACTCATTCAGCAAGGAAAGGTAGGTACACATCAGGTTAATTCCATAGCTTTTAGTGCTTTCTGTATGGGACAAAAAAGGGTCTCAAGATCTGAACAATATCAGGCATATAATAGGTAGGTATAGGTAGAGAACAGTAAGAAAGTGTATAGCTTCCAGGTGAGGGTTAGGGGTTTAAGGGATAGGGTAGCACTTCAGCTGGAGCTTGAAGGCCCAAGTTGGACTCGGCCTAGGCAGGAATGTAGATAACATCTAAGTGATTTTGATATTTCAGGTATGTCACTAGCAGAATAGGCATTCTGCTTTGACTGGGAGGAGGGATGACGGGGCAGTGGATGGGAAGAAATGACTGATAAGGGCAATGAGAAATTCAGTCAGCTAACGAGAGAGTTAGAACCATTATTACGATCTTTATTTTGTCTTTGTGCATGAACCAGCTGGTTTAGTTGTCTCAGAATGGGGCTGTAAAAACAAGTTCTGTTCAGTAGGTGAGTACATTATCGTATGGTGAATTATCTAAGGAGAAACAGTAGGCTGAGATTAACCAAACAAGCAGTGATCCTCAGGATCTAGTAATTTAATTTCTCCCTTGTGCTAGAGTACACATATCATATAGTGCTAGTAAAAACACAAATAATCCCATTCTGTTCCCATTTTGCAGAACAGTATTATAGAACTCAGGCTTCTATGCATATATTCTCAAAGGTATTAGAGGTCTATTAAGAATAAAGTGAAATGAGCCAGGTGTGGTGGCTGATGAGGCAGGTGGACCACTTGAGGTCAGGAGTTCAAGACCAGCCTGGGCAACATGGCAAAATCCTGTCTCTACTAAAAATACAAAAACTTCCTGGGCACAGTGGATAGTTGGGAGGCTACTTGAGAGGCTGAGGCAGGAGAATTGCTTGAACCCAGGAGGTGGAAGTTGCAGTGAGCCAAGATGGCGCCACTGCACTCCAGCCTGGGCAAGAGTGAGACTTTGTTTGGGGAGGGTGGGGTGGGGGAGGAATAAAGTGAAATATGATTAAAGAGATGTGCTTATACATTTATTAAGACTACTTTTTAAAAAAAATAGGTCTCAATCATCGCCAGTTCCAACAGTGAAAAACAGAAGCCAACAAACTCAGAATACATTACACTTACCACTAAAAAACAGTAGCTATGAGAGAGAGAATTTGATCTCCGGAGGTAATCAAACAGAATTACCACCTGGGATTTCTGAATCGTTCCATTTTATTCCCTATGTTCGAACAAGTGAGATCTATTATCTTGATCCAGATGCACCATTGTCCAGACCTTCAACCCAGGACTCTCAGTACCAGCCTTCACAAAGTAAGTAAATATAATCATTCTAACTGTAAAAATTGAAGACCCAGGTGAACCTCCAAGCTTAAATTCCAAATTAGTAATTCCTGCCCTTAGTTCTAGAAAGTCTTACAATGTTTGCCCCTGGAGAGATGGAAAGAACTCTCTCTTGAATGTCTTAAATCTTGCTTAGTACTTGCCTAGGATACAAATTTACTAACTCCTTAGAATATATGTCATTTTACTAATGCGTATTAACTGACTTGTTGCTTTCATCTGGCTTTAGACTGTGGCCAAGAACAGCAGCTGCTTGATTCTGACTGTGTCAGGGATCCACTTCTTAATCCTAACTTGGTGAAAAACAGGGATCGACAGCAAGCAATCCTTAAGGGACTTTCAGAACTGAGACAGGTATGAGCTTTTTAAAGTGTGGATGCGACTGTTCTTTATGTGGCCAGAGCAGGCAGGAGGGGAACGTGTTGAATGGCTGTTTTAAGTTACTTTGGTGCACCCAGGTTTTAAGAAAAGTATTTCAGTTCCTGTACTTTAGACACAAATAAAATGGGACTTTCCTTGGATTTGCTTTTAAATAGCCATCCTTGAGTATTTTTCAGTACAAAATCATGAGACAGTTCTAAAATTAAGCATTTTATTGAGTAAAAAAATGCATACATTGGAACGGCAAAACATCAATAAGGCCTAAAACAAAAAATACAGTTTATTAAAGCATTCTTATCAATGTGGCCCACGCTTTTCAAAAAACTGGCATGTTGGCAGTGTTCAGAATAGATTGACATATATCCCAAAGAATAATTCAGTATGAAATTATACACATACAACCTTACTCACCAGACTACTTTTTCTCCCAAACTATTGTGACTCTCATTATTTTGCTCTTACAAAACAAGTAACATCCTTATGTCTTTGATTCACTGTACTCTTTGTACTCGGAGAATAAGCTGTGTTATTTCAGAAGTGCCCTTTTCCACGTCATCATGTAGCAATACTCTGCATTTCAAAATGCTGGCTGACTCAGATGTTTTCCCTCTACAGAACTAGAAAATTGTCCCCACTTTGGCCTGTTTACTCATTTGAAGACAAACAGGGTTACCAAGAGTTTAGAGAAGTTACTTCTTTAGAGTGACAAAATGTTAATTACTTCATGCCTAGTGGAGACAAAACTTGTGAGACAAAGAGGAAGGAATATGATGTACACATTTACCCACCAATATATAGTGCCCAGTGTTATTTCAACAGGGCCCTTCTATTAACCTCTCTAAGATTAGGACAGTCAAGATAAACAGTGGTGTTAAGGAAGGAGCTAAGAGCACTTGCGGGGGCTGGTGGGGGAGAGGGGATTACCCCCTGTAAGTTATGGAGACTTGATTTTAAGCTAAAAATATAATCTTACAAGTATGTGGTAGCTATATCCAAATAAGGTGGTCTCTAGTACAAGCAATTCTGAAGAAATTTTTGAATGACAAAGAATTTTATCCTAAGCAGTCTTTTCCAAGTAAATAGAATTCTAGTTTAACACAATATTGTAAGTCAGGTGTGCACATTTTACTAACATATATCAATGTGATTTCAGGGCCTTCTCCAGAAGCAAAAGGAGTTGGAAAGTAATCTCCTGCCTATAACTGAAAATCAAGAAGAGAACTTTGGTTCTTCATTTTAAATGTAGAAAATCAAATCCTGCACATTTGATTTGTGTCTTCCAAATTATAAAATGTGCTCACTGGCTCAACTGTATTTTTCAAATAGCCTAGATTTATTTATTAAATACTTATTTAAAAACTTCTACATTATGTAGTAAAATGCCGTACTTGTTTTATACAATAAAACATACTTTTGTAAAAGCGTAGTAGTTAAAAAAAAAAAAAAAAAGATTCTTATGCTCTGTCACAACCTGGGTTTTGAAGCCCTATAAAAATACTTTCTACTTACCTTAATATAGTCTGGAGTTCCTGACCTGCTAAAACAGTGTTCTTTCACACTTTTTAGGTAACATATTAACTGAAATACCACTCATGCATTTGTTCTACAGTGCCAAAGTTCTATCTAACTTATTAACATGTCTAGACCCATAATTTTTACTAAAATAACACAAATTCAGTTTAGACTCTTGTGGAAATTGCTTTCTTCTCTAAATCCTGCTTTTTATGACATTTGTAGATAATTGCAATTTTCAAAAACATTTAACAACATTAGTAACAAGTTAGTAATTAGTATTAGAGGCAGTAGTTAGGAATAGATAGGGGTTTGAAAGCTATCTCGACTGTATCTTTCTAGTATAGCACTAATGTGTTCAACAAATGGTAATTACCACTAAGACCACCTCAAAGATATATTTCCATTATACTTCCATTTTGCTAAATCTAATTTAAAAATCAAATTGTTCAATGCCTTTGATAAACAGAAGCCTATCTTCTGAAATATAAAATTTAATTAAATCAAGGATTGCACAAGTACTGAAAATTTTAATTATCCAGTACTCTCAGTTACCAGAATTTTAGCAATAGGCAGGCAGTTTTTACATGACTAAGCCTAGAGATAAAAAATGTGTCCTATGTACATAATTTATTATCTAAATGAAACTGCACTGTTAGATAAATCTTGAGGTATTGAGCCAAAATCCTGTAAATATTAACATTACTATTACTGGCTTATACCTGTGTAAAAACACAATACAAAAGCCTAACAAATCAGCAAAAGTAGTTTGTATCAGGTGACATGAGAGAAAAAGACGTAAAGCCTTTGCTGTTTACCGTCCTCCTGCAAGCATCTGATTTTACACATAAAACAGGCTTCAATTTGAAGCCTAAATACAGGTAACATACAAAAGTAAAACTTAGAAGTGCCAACATGAGATAATTCAAGTACAATATATGTTAAAAAATATATATTTATTTCAATTTTTAGATGCTTTAACTGTTACAGACCATCATGATTTAAGTTAAAAAAAAAAAATTGAGAAAGAACAAGAACCTTTTGTTTAGAGAATGAAATATAAATTGTTAATAAACAAAAAAAGTCCACAACAATCTATTTAGGAAAAGTTACTATAGTTACTTCTCTTTTGAATATGGCCTGGAAGAATCACTTTTTCTCCAGCTGAAGGGAGGTGGAGATTTATCTCTATCCAAGCTTTGAGTATAAGCAGTTAAGAAGTAATTTTCATTTTCTTGAGATTGACTTGATGAAAGGGTATATGGTGTCCCCAAAAATGTCTGATGAGTGAGAACATTAAAATAACTAAACTGATGGGACATATTTAATTGACTATGATAAACCTGAAAGTTACTATATGAAGCTTGTTCTGTTGAATTGCTGTTCTCTCCTTCAGAGCATACTATATCAACAGAAGTTCTCTCTTCAGAATCAAGATAAGTCTTATCTTCTAATAAACTGTTTTGCACGTCAGGAGACGATTGCAACTCAATTTGAATATTCTTTTTTTGATCTGTTCCACGTGATCCTTTGGTCTCTTTCGCCCATATTTCTGAATGAAAATTGCTGCATACTTCTATATGTGAGATTTCATCCCCTGAATCCAGAGACATATCCTCTTCATCCTTTTCATCGTTTTCTAAAAGAGCTACATTTAAAAAACAAAAAGTCCTCCTCTATTGAAATACACAGTTTGTTTAAGTTTTAAAATTATACACTACTCACACAATATAACGCGTCAGGGTCTGCAAGTCCAAAATCCCTTAAAGCTTGGTCTTCTGCCACAAGTTCACTTAGTCACAACACTCACACTAGATGTGAATGTCCAGATAATCCGATGCTAAAAGCTTCTGCGAAATGTGTTCACGTTTAATGTTGGGAAATCCCAACTCCCAGCTCCAAAGGGGTTAATGTCAAAACAGCATCTAAAGTTATACGGTAATTCAGTATTTGACAAGACAAATATAAAATAAAATTTTTTGACATCTAGCTTCACTGGATTACTAAACTGGTTAGCACTACTGAATGATCATCTCTGCTTTTTTTCATCAAAAATAAAAGTACATCTTTCATTTTACATAGAACCTGGAACCAAAGCAGAGGCCATTTCACAAAAGACTAAAGCTATAAAAGCCCTACTATCTTGCAGTTAAATTGCTTTATACATGTGGGGAGATCTGGTAGCTCAATGCTAAATCACCATATCTGGTTCCCTACCTTTTTAATATAACCACTTTGCTGACAATAGTAACCTAACCAATAGTGCTTACAAACCCTCAAAGACAAAATGCAAACTCCATAGTATGCATTGTCTACAATATAAATGGAAATGTATATTCTATAGTAACTAACAACTTACACTGACTAAACTGAGCAGATCTTGTGCGAGCTAAGTATCAGAACAATAAATGTCTTGAAACTTTCCCTATGGCTATTTATACTGAGGTGAGTGGTTTCAAAATAGTCATTTCATTATTTGATAACAGAGCAAAACCATTCCTCTTTTTCTGTCTGCCTGAAAGAAAATGAAAACCACTGAAAAGTTACCTGACTGCGACTCAAGATTCTCATTAGCACCAAGCAGTGGAAGGTTTTCTTCTGTGATTGAGTTGTGATAGCCAACAAGATTTTTAAAGTTTTGCATGAAGTCTTCAGCAGTTGCAACCACTATTCCATTATCTGTGTAACTGGAAATCATCTTGATGTTCTTATCTAAGAAAAAAAAGTTTCATGTATGAAACACTTAAAAATACAGACAGCCCCCAGCCCTCAAAAAATCCTTTCCTTCACATTTTCAGAATCACAGCTTAGCAGTACCCACCATAGCCCCATAAAATCTTTTTTCACATTCCTATATTCATAGTAGAAAGCTCAAGAGTGCTCTCTTTACCTGTTAAAAAGACTATGTGTCGTTGCTGTATGTTCTGAGCCTGAAGTCTGATAAGGCAATCCAATTCTGGAGCATTTCGAGTTTGTGAATCACAATTGTGGTATGACAAAATTTCAACCAGATGTTTCTTCTGATAGACAGTCAGAAGCGTCAACAGACTTAGAGCTTTAGCATTCAATCTGTGAAATTAAGCAGTTCAGTATCTGGATCTGTATTTCTAAAATTTAGTATGGAAATTTCTGCTTTAAATTTCTCCATTGAGGCAACTAATGACAACTGCACTGCTTTAGCTCTCTCCCTGATGTAGGGGTGTGCTTCTCTGGAGAGAAGGAAAGCAGGGGTAAGTCCAAGGATTTATTGGTCATAAGGTCTCAGGGCCAGCTCCACAGCTTAGACTAAAATCTCGGCAGATTATTCTACTTACTAAATAATAAAAGTATGATTATCTTTATTAATTTTGAACTTCAATGAAGGACTTGAAAGGACAAAGTATAAATCCTTCCTTCAAAAAATACAATCTATGGGCTGGGTGTGGTGGCTCACGCCTGTAATCCCAGCACTTTGGGAGGCCGAGGCTGGTGAACACCTGAGGTCTGGAGTTCGAGACCAACATGGTGAAACCCCATCTCTACTAAAAATACAAGATTAGCCAGGTGAGGTGGCTCATGCTTGTAATCCCAGCTACTTGGGAGGCTAAGATGGGAAAATAACTTGAACCTGGAAGGTGGAGGTTGCAGTGAGCTGACATTTCAACCATTGCACTCCAGCCTGAGCAACAAGAAAACACACACACACACACACACACACACACACACACACTATTATGGCTCTAAGCTATTTTTTTTTTCCCCATTTTTTTTGAAACAGAGCAAGACTCTGTCACCAGGCTGGAGTGCAATGGCGCCATCTGGGCTCACTACAACCTGTGCCTCCTGGGTTCAAGCAATTCTACTTCAGCTTCCTGAGTACTAGCTGGGACTTCAGGCACATACCACCATGCCTGGCTAATTTTTGTATTTTTAGTAGGGATGGGGTTTCACCATGTTGGCAGGCTCAATCTCCTAACCTCGTGATCCACCCACCTCGGCCTTCCAATGTGCTGGGATTACAGGCGTAAGCCACCGCACCCGGCTAAGTTACTTCTATATTGCAAGGCACAAGGCAACAAGTGGAGATAAACTTTTAAAAGTGAATTGCTACAAAGAGCTAAATACTCAAAAATTAAGCCCAAATCTTCTAAAAATTGTACCATGAAATGTCATATTTTAAGAAACAAAATTTGGTGCTTAGTTTAAGAAAATAATGATTGACACAATGTAAAACAGAATTCTTTTAACTAGAATTCTTCGTATCCTTTAATGTGTAAATACATTTTATAGACTCTACTAGTAGGACACAGTATCCCAAATGTGTCTGATTACCGTAATCATTTATGGAACCTCTCAAGTGACTAGTGTTGCAAAGATCACAATGGGAGAAGTGACTTCTATGCATGTTAGAAATTACCTGTATCTACATGAATTGGTGTCCTAATCACAAATCACTTCACCAAGTCAAGATTAATCCTTATCCAAATACGTGTAATTTTATTAGGTAATTGAAGTAGTCCTCAGCTGGGAGAGGGTCTGATCTAGTTGGCAAATTCAGTTCAGTTAAAAAAGAAAAATTGTTAGCCGGGATCCGTGGCTCATGCCTGCAATCCCAGCACTTTGGGAGGCCAAGGGGGGTGGATCACCTGAGGTCAGTTCAAAACCAGCCTGGCCAACATGGTAAAACCCCATCTTTACTAAAAATAACAAAAATTAGCCAGGCATGATGGCGAGTGCCTCTCATCTCAGCTACCTGGGAGGCTGAGGCAGGAGAATCACTTGAACCCAGGAGGCAGAGGTTGCAGTGAGCCGAGACTATGCCATTGCACTCCAGCCTGGGCTACTACAGTGAAACTCCATCTCAAAAGAAAAAAGAAAAATGCTGATCATTCAAATTGGATCATTACTCTAAATCCACAATTGTAAAGATTAAACCTATT